TCTAAACTTTCACATCTATAATATTAGTAAGATTTTCTGCCAAACGCATTTAGAGCATTTTAAGCAGAAACAAACACTGCGCTTAAGCAAAACGTTCATTCATAAACCTTATTACGAACAAATTAATTGTAAAAAGAAACTTTAAGTTTAAAATATTATATGACAATGAATATAATTAACAATGTTTCTAACCCTAAGTACTCAGCTGCTAACCTCTGGGACGGACTTTAGTAAAGAAATGGACCTTTTTGTTGTATGTTCAAAATTGTGCAAATACTTGTAGGTAAAAGATGCTATGAGGTTATAAAGCCATTTATATATTGACCCATTTTTATAAAATATACAAAAAGAGATTTTAGTCTAAATTTCATAAAATTACATTGAATTTAAAATACGAATTGCGTAAATTGAATTTATAATAATCAGAACCATTTGACTTTTAAAAATAAAGCTGTTTTAATCCTGTTCTCAAGTAGATATAAATAAATATGTTGGGATATTAACACACAGCACCATCTAGTTCCATGGTTAGCTACGAGGCTTGTGTTATGGATCCCGGGGGAGAAGCCAACTCCTACCGGGCGCTTCTCCAGGTGGCGGATAGGGGAATGCCACCCGCTTAGGGCGGCGGGTGGTACCGGAGAAATCCGACGCGGACCAAATGGCTTGGGTGGGGCCGCTCGTCTAGGCCTCGAGCCGAAGACGTTGCGGCCACCGGTGGTGGGACCGTTTGGTCCCACAACCGGATGATGGATGCCGGTTGCGGGACTGCGGTCGCAGGCCCGCATCCGGCGGAGGAGTAGGCCGCGGCGGGAGAGGAGTGCCGGTATTTCGGTGCACCGTTCTCCCTACCTTCCGCGGCCTAGACGGGGCCGCCACCGTTTGATGGCGGACGCGGTGGGGCTGCAGGGGAAGAGGAGTGTCGGTGTGTCGTTGCCGCTCTCCCTGTCCTCTGCAGCCGATTGGAGGTGGCCCACTTCGGTGGGCGGAGGTTAGGTTTAATGGGGCTGCTCCGGGTACCTCTCTGGCGTAGCAGAGTTGACTGTGGAGCAGCCCCATTGGTTTGGTGGTCTGCCTTTTTAGGCAGACCTGCCGCCGGGGCGCCGTAGTAGTTATGCGCAAGCGATCCTGCGGCGTCCCATTATGGCGGAGGGGAGGGGAATGTCGGGTTTTAGTGGGTAGTACCGGCTCTTCTAGCCGGTGAGCCCCACATCACCACCTGGGGGATCAGGTGGTATGCGTAAATGCATTTCCCGACATAAAAAAAAAAAAAAAGGCTTGTGTTATGGATACCAGATAGTTGATACACTACATACATATAACTTTAAATACATATTATATATATAAACACCCATGACTGGAGTACAAACATTCGTGCTCATCACACAAATGAATGCCCCCAGCGGGACTCGAACACGCGACGCCTGACACAGCAAGTACGGTCACTACATACTGAGCCTAACGTGTCATCAAATTAAAATTCACCCATCAAGATCGAATAGAAGAAGAATAAAATAGAAAAGAATCACGGATTTGACTTCTGTTACTTCTCAAACATCCATAAAACCAAAATTTTCAAAAGACTGGAAATTTTCAAATGTAATACCCATAGTTTAAGTTTAACCCATAATGAGTTTCTCAGATAAGGTGTTTGTCATCATTGACCTGGCATGTTATATTTTGTTTTCTTGTAACAGGGGATTCCTCGAAGGGGCAGTTTTCTCATACTGATAAAAAGCTTTATTCTTGCTTGAACAATGATTACGTGACTTATCAGTTACTACTACTTCATCGTATGTTTATTTTTTACACACACACACATTAGTTAAAGTTTAAAATTAATACTACGTTTTTATATTTGTCTATTTTCATGTTTGTATGTTTTAAATATAACTAAATTTTTGGATTTTTTTGCGCATTTATTTTGATTTTCGGTTCTGATTCGATCTCGATTATTTTACAGCGCACATGGTCATGAAAGAGATAACGGTTTTAGACGTCTCCAAGGTCATTACTCATTATATTATAACTGTTACAGACAGTGCCTACCCACAAAATTATACAATGATTACAAAAATAACACCAAAATATTACCTTACCTTAAAATATTTGATAATTTTAAGTATTTTTTATAATTTCAATAAGTTGCAATGTTTATAATAATTATTCTTTTTTTAATTATTAATTAATAATATACATATTATTTAATAAAGTTTTTAAAAATATAAACTTAAAAAAAGTATATTAATTAAGCAATATTGTTTTACGTACAATTTAAAAAAGTTAAAAATTATTACGCATTAATTTGGTTTGATATATTAATAAATATATCAAAATTTTTGATATCAAAGTTTGAGTGGCACGCTAATAATTTTTCTAAAATAAAAGTAGCTTGGTGAAAGTTCCGTCAAAATCAGTTCAGCCGTGACGGAGATTAGCCGGAAAAAACAGATGAGATATAGAGAAACTACCCTATAATATTTCATATTATGAATTTAATTAAAAGATTTTATTTCGACATTACAAACAGACAGTTCAATTTTATTTATCTGTATAGGTCATTATATTTTAATGATGTCTAATTATAATATTGTATACATAATATATGCAGTATATCCATTCAGTTTCTTTATTCCATACAAAACTACCTATCCCAGTAAATCTGTGAAGTCTTTCTACAAAAAAGTACCTATTACTGATAAATAATAAAAAAAAAATTAAATCAAAGGTCAAAGATACAGTACATATGTATATATAAATGAAATAAAAAAACGTGATTAAAATAAATCACGATTCTCAGATATTATTTATTACGCGGTTTTTTTTCTTAGTAATTGTCGTCAAATATTATATAAGTTCCTGAATAATAAGGTAAGAAAATATTTATTACAGAGTGAGAATTGTTCTCCATTAGTCGGGGTCAAAGTAGGAAAATAAATATTTAATATTTTAAAATTTAAAAAACCCCCTACGCAAATTAATTGTCATTTAACGATTACATTGGCACGCGTGAAGCACATAATTGAGTAATCATACGCCAAAATGCCTTACATCATTTTGGAAAAGAGCTGATACTCTTACACTGCTGGACCGATATTAACCAAATATAGCTTAGAACCACCGCAAGGAAACTGGCTTTCAAATGAAAAAACCCGCATCGAAATCGGTCCATGCGTTTGAGAGCTACGATGCCACAGACAGAGACACATATATACAGACAGACAGACATCAACGTCAAACTTATAACACCCCTTTTTTGCGTCGGGAGTTAAAAATAAATATGTATATGCCATACTAATCGCCCTCGCTTTGCCCAGGTTAACGACCTAACCCAACAAGATACATATAATACTACGTATGTACTCGTATGTTCAAATACATCAAGTCGTTTCTTTTGTTTCCAAGTCGAAGTCACTTGGAGGAAAAAAACCAGCAAACATTTTTTTTTGAAGAAAATAAGTCCGCAAAATCTAAAAGATATACATAATAATAACTAGTGACTCGCTCTTGCTTCGCTCGGGTTCGTCCATAGGTACATTTTAATTTTTTTGAGCGGAACTCTAATTCTTTTGCTGAAGTACAAGTTACTCCTGTTAACATCAACTACCTGCCGAAAGTCCCGTTAAAATCGGCCCAGCCGTTTTGGAGATTAGCCGGAACAAGCAGACAGATAGATAATTTTTTTTTAAATTATAAGTATTTTTCTTATAAATACCGTATATAATTCTTTCTACTATATGCATATGCAATTATATACGGTGCTTATAAGAAAAACACAATTTTTAAAATTTTTGTTTTCCTATCTGTCAGTCAGCTTGTTCCGGCTAATCTCCGAAATGGCTGAACAGATTTTGACAAGACTTTCACTGGCAGATAGCTGATGTTATAAGGAGTAACTTAGGCTACTTTTATTTTAGAAAAAGAATTAGAGCTCGGCTAAAAAAAATTAATACGCACCGAGAGACGCACTCAAGCGACGTGCGGGTAAGTAGCTAATTTTAAATTATTCACTGACCATCTTTGGACAATTCTCTATAGGTTATTGAGAGAAAGACCCCGTCTGATGCGTCACATTAAACAAGTTAAATATCTTAAGTGGCCTACACATACGTACTCGTACATTTTATTGCTTTAATTCAAACCGTTTAAGCAAAGCAAGCAACAAGAATTTTTAGAATCGGGTCAGTAGTTTCAGAAATAACCCCCTGCATCCAAACTTAGAACTTATTAATATTAGTAGGTGTAATAAAATTAGTGGACACCCATTTTCAATATCAGAACCCGCGGCTTCGCTCGCGCTAAAACTGCAAATAAAATCTCTAAAAAGGTAGGTTTCATACAAACATTCATCCCCTATTTTACCCTCTTAGGAGTTAAATTTTGGAAAACGCTGCAATGAGTAACTCATTATTTTTGCCGTACTCAATTCATATGAAATTGCATGCAAATATGTCCAAGGAATAAAAAAATCATACAAACTTTTATCCCCTATTTCACCACATTGGGGGTTGAATTTTGAAAAATCCTTCCTTAATGGATGCCTTCGTCATATGAGGAATACGAGTGCGAAATTTCAATTTTCTAGCCTTAAGGGTTTGGCCTGTGCGTCGATACATCAGTCAATCACTTTTACCTTATATATATATATATATATATATATATATATATATATATATATATATATATATATATATATATATATAGATTAGACAATATAGACGAAATGAGCGCTGGATGCTAGTATTTAAAACTTAAAAGTCACATAACATATATATAGTGGGAATATTTAGCACCCCGTCAGTGCGCAGGCGCATCTCACGTCTCACTAGCGTCACGGTCTGAAGTAAAAGTGACATGCGGCTATAAAATATACAAATAAATATATATTTTTTCAATTTTCTATAATTGTAAAATAGAATATTAAAAAAATATATTTCTTACCATATATTTAGTTTTTTTTTAAAATTGTGACTTAAAAGTGATCTAAAATGGTGAACAAAATGTATAAAGTTACTTCCGATAAAACGGTGAAAAGTGGAAGCAAACATAATCAAATTTTAACGTCTATTACTGGTAAGTCTTGTTAATAAATTAATAATTAATTTTAACTAAAAAACAATTTATTCCAATAAAGTAACAATTTATTACAATAAAAAAATAAGTTTTTTGATTTTTAATAATCATTTTTAATTAATAAAAAAAAATATTCCACATTTATTTGTGGATTTTTCTATACTAATATTATAAATAACTAAAGTTTGTGATATTGTGAGTTTGTGACGTTGTAGGGGGTAATCTCTGGATCTACTAAACCTATTTTCAAAATTCTTTAACCAATAGAAAGCCACGTTCTTTCTGAGTGTCATAGGCTATATATTAACCCGAAGAATGAAAAGACTTTTTCATGGTAGTCTGATTTGCAAAGTAAGTCGGAGAAAAAACGGTCGAACGAAAACGTTTCTTACGAACGCTGCCTTAACGATGAGAAATATATGATTATGTTCTAGAGAAAAGTTGTACAGCTTAATCTATACATATAATAAAATTCTAAGTCAAATCTGTACATTAAATATTTTTTGGGAAATCTAATTGAAATAGACATTATTATCGATACAAAGTCCGAACCTATAAATTTTAGAATTTTTGTCTGTCTGTCTGTCTGTCTGTCTGTCTGTCTGTCGTCTGTCTGTTACCGCATCACGAGAAAATCACTGGACAGATTTTGATGAAATTTGGTATGATGATAGCTGGTTATCCGGTATATAGGCTACTTTTTACCGCGGGAAAATATCTCATTTCTGAGAAAAAATACAAAAACACAAAAACTGCATTGTAAGGGTATACTAATATGTAAAACCTAAGAATTTGGTTTTTGATCATCAGAACGCGGGCGGAGCCGCAGGCAATGCTAGTAATGCCCATAAAAAAGTCAGCGACAGCATATGTCTAACTTTTATATTTAAGTCACAAAAAGTAGTTTTTTATATTAAAAAAATAATTTAAATCGGTAGGTCATGTTTATTGGTCATATTATCAACAATTATGAATTCTTATCAAAATAAGTAAATTTATCGTCTAATATGTTTAAAACAAAAGACTTTAAATATAAGTAAAGCTGACTTAATAACTAACAATAAAAAAAGAATCACGAAAATTAATTCATACTAAGCGAAAATATCGCATATTATACAAAGTATCATCTTACATTCCAGTATCCATGCTTCCATACTAATATTATAAATGTTAAAGTGTGTTTGTTTGTTTGTTTGTCCTTCTTTCACGTCGAAACAGAGTAACGGATTGGCATGATTTTTGGTATGGAGATAGTTGGAGGGTGACATAGGAAAACACGTTATAATACAATTCGAAAAAATATATGATCAGAATTACTTAAAACTTGGTATTAATGCTCTTCAACACAGTAAAACAAATAGGTGTTTTAGCATTTTTCGAAATTTATCCTATAAGGAGATAAAATAAGAGATGAAAGTTTGTATGAAACATGCCTTTTTAGAGATTTTTTTGTAGTTTTAGCGCGAGCGAAGCCCCGGTTTCCGCTAGTAATATTATAATTTTCATATTTTTTTTACATTCCTTTTATGAATTCAAATTGTATAAAGGACCGGTTTTGGCCGCACCTTTGCTTTCTCACTTTGTCAATTTTTGGACAGTATTGTACAGTTCATTCGCTACGTGCTAGTATATATATATCTACACATATAATAAAATTGTAACTAAGCCGGATCTGTACATTAGATAATATTTTTTGGAAAATCCTATTGAAATAAACATTATTATCGAAACAGAGGCTGAATCTATAGTTTTTAGTATTTTTGTCTGTCTGTCTGTTACCGCATCACAAAAAAACCACTGGAGGGATTTTGATGAAATTTGGTTTAGTGATAACTGGTTATCCAGGTCAACATAAAGGATACTTTTTAACCGCGGAAAAATATCTCATTTCTGAGAAAAAATACAAAAATTGTAATGTAAGAGTAACTAGAGTACATACACAAACTTAATTACTAAAATAACGTTAACCAATTTCTTTTTTGTATATTACTCTAAATTAAAGGCATGCACAACATTTTATAACTAGGTAATACATAGGTAAACAATTTTATAGTTTAGATATTAAAACGTATTTGGTACATGCGCTCTACATAAATGACAATAATATTAAAAAAATAAATGAAATGTAACACTAAATAATTTCTTTTAGATTTCTTTTTAAATTATATAAAAATCATATTATCTTATTGACGGCTGAATGCCGCCACGATAAGCCTATGGATAATTGTGGTATAGCAACGAACAGCCCTTATATACCTAATAACTATATGATTTTTGGGAGATCAAGAAATACTTGCCGTCGTACGTTACACATACATACATACATACATACATACATAAATATGTACATATGTGCTTCAGTGAATGGCAATCAGTCAACTTTATTTTACTTTGTTGTACTACATTATATGTATATGTTAATTATGCTGTTATGTTAGTATACTATACCTACTGATAATTATAAGTAATAAAATAAATTATAATCTTCATTATTGTTTAAGCATCTTTTTTTATCATTACATGTCACTGTGCCAAGTAAACCGATAAGCGTATATAATGGTAGACTGTTTTGTACATTTTAATAGTAATCGAGAGTTTAAAGCTCAAACTATCTTTACAACTCAGTCTTAAAAAACCAAAAAAAATAACGAGTATTGTAGATGAGTAAGAAAACCCGTTAATTCACTATTTACGTAATGTAAATATTTTTTTTATGTGTTTGTCAAATTACGTAGAAATTACGTATTTAAAACTGTTTTTTTTTTTTAAATTCTACGGCGTAAAAGTTGAGTTATTAATTTATAGCTAATTTTCAATACGCCTAGGCCCCTATTTGTATCCCCCCCAACGTGCGTTCACCTTGTCGTGGTGGGGGGGCTCAGTAGTGCCGGCAACCCAACCGGGCGCGAACCCAAGAAACGCACAGGGAGGTGGCCCACTTCGGTGGGCGGTGGGAGGTGGCCCTCTTCGGAGGGTGATGTACGTTGCTCCTGGTACTTCTCTGATAGCAGAGTGGACCTTGGAGCAACCCCGTGGTTGTTGTGGTCTGCTTCGGCAGACCTGCCGTCGGGGCGTCGTAGTTGAATGCGTAAGCGATCCTGCGACGCCCCATTAAGACGGGGGAAGGCTTTGTTGGGTTTTAGTGGGTAGTACTGGCTTTGCCGGTGAGTCCCACAACTCGTGCGCAAATGAACTTCCCAACGTTAAAAAAAAAAGTCCCCTATTTGTATGGGGACTGGTTTTGTCCTTTATCTTTTTATAATATTCATAACGAGTTTTGTAATTAAAATGCAATTATTTCTACTTTAAACATTTATAATTACCAAAAATGTCATTATATGTATGTAACATGAATATTAATCCATTCAAAATCTAAAATCAAAATCAATATATTTTATTCAGCATTATTACAATTTTTTACTGAACGTCATGAGTCTACTATCAGTTCGGAAAGAAGAAGCCTCAGACCGGAGAAGAACTGGCGAAAGAAACTCAGCGGGACCAATATTAAATTATCTTTTTTTTAAAGTAAGATTATAATTTACAATATTTCTATCAAGTTGAAGTAGCCTGGAGGCGATCATTTCATTCCCAAGGTGTGCCATCTTCTATAAAATCATTTATTATATAATAGCCTTTAGCACACAAACGGTCTTAACAATTTTTTTTGAATTTGGCGATAGAAGCCTTTTGAACATTTTCTGGGATCCAGTTATACAAGCGTATGTATACATTGTCCATAAAAAGAATTACTGACTCTGTGTAGACGAGTCACAGGCATTACAAGTTTGTGTTTGCTCCTAGTACGAGTATTAATGTTATGCATGTCACACTTCTTGGGAAATTCGTGTATATTTTTACGGACATACATAACATTTTCGTATAAGTACTGAGAAGCAACAGTCAATATTTTTATTTCTCTAAACTTATCTCTTAACGACACTTTAGGACCTAAACTATAAATTGCACGAATAGCTCTTTTCTACAGGACAAAAATCGTATTAATAGCAGCTGCATTTCCCCAAAGTAAGATACCATAGGAAATAATACTATGAAAATAACTAAAATATACTATACGAGCTGTATCTACATCAGTAAGTAGCCTTATTTTTTTTACCGCGAACGCTGCAGAGCTGAGTCTACTCGCTAGCCCCTCAATATGGGGGCCCCACTGCAATTTCGAATCTATGATAATACCTAGGAATTTTGTGGACTCTACAGGTTTTAACACTTCGCCATTTAATATTACACCATTATCAACAAGTTTGACATTAGGTGTTGAGAATTTTATTAATTTTGTCTTTTTATTATTTAATAATAAATTATTTGAATCAAACCAATAGACAACCTTTGAGAGAGCATCGTTTACATCGTCGTACATTAGCGAATTGCGCTTCACTTTAAAAATAAGTGAAGTGTCATCAGCGAACAATACTATCTCATGTTTGTCCTGTACAAAAAATAGCAAATCATTAATGTACATTAGAAAAATAAAGGGGCCAAGAGTAGACCCTTGTGGAACCCCATATGTAATGGAGCTCCAGGAGATCTCTTACCATTTACATCAACCCTCTGTATTCTATTTTTTAAATACGAATTCAGAAGTCCTGATCAGCGTCTCATGATGTACACAATCAAAGGTCTTGGATAAGTCACAAAATATCCCAAGTGCAGCTTGTGACCTTTCCCAAGCCTCAAAAATATTTTTTACTAGCTCAACACTAGCATCCGCCGTGGAGTGGCCTTTCGTAAATCCAAATTGTTTCTTATGAAGTAGATTGTGTGCATTAAAATGCGTTAACATTTGCGCGAGCATGGTTTTTTCAAAAATTTTACTAAACGTTGGCAGTACCGCAATTGGTCTAAAATTATTAGGGTCTAAGGTACTACCTGATTTAAAAATAGGAATAATTTTACTGTGTTTCATTAGATCAGGAAACGCACCACGCTCTATACTGCTATTAAATACAGTAGCTAGATGAGGTGCAACAACATCAATT